CAACATTCAGATCTGGTTGGTAATGGTATGAACTACTTCAGAGGAGTGAGTTCCTCATTACTAAAAGGCTTACAGCCAACACTAAGGATACTGATGGAGAATCCATGTATCATCCTAGGACAAACTCAGTAATCTCCAAGATCCCTCACAACCCTGAGATACAATATCTTTTCCCATCTTAGGTTGCCTTCTCTTTCTTCTTTTCCTATCCTAATGCTACCCACCCTCTGAGTCTAGGTCAGGTAGCACCTTCTCCCTAAATAATATTTCTTTATACAGTTGTTATGAGGAATTGATGAGCTATTGCGTATATAATTTTTAGCTGAGTACTTGGCATACAGTAGGTGCTCAGTTATTTCCTTTTCTTGCCTTCCTCCACAATGATAAAAACTCACATTAATCTCTATCTTTTCTGGCCTTCAATAATATTTGGCTATAATAAAAAATTAGTAAGATTTTGGTTTTATTTTTCTTGAATTACTTAATGTTCTACATCATCTTTACATTTATTAAAGACTAGAACCAAATCGTCCCTTTATTTCCCACAGTTTACAGACAAGGACTGAACACATAATGGTCAATTAATATGGAGAGGGTAAGCTTTATAAAGGAGAATCAACACAATGCAGTTTGAAAATCACACTGTAATCTTGTAACCACAATTTAGTATTCATGTGGCCTATAAAGTCTTAGGCTCAGTTTCCACATTAAAAAATGTGGTCAAATATCCCTACTCTGCCTTCCTGAGTGTACTCTTATAATCAGAGAATTGGGTATATATGAAGGACCATTCAAACAGTGCATTTTGATTTGATTGCCCATTTCATTGCAATTTAGCATATTTGGAGAGTTCACAATGGAAAGGGCAACTCTTCTTTAGCTGACCATCTTGATGACAGATGTTTGGTTTTTTTCCTCTGCCAGAAAACAGAGCAAATTGCAGGCTTGTATGATATTCAGTGTAGCTTGTTTATGCATTGTAAGGATTAAAACCAACTTACATCTTGAGTGAATAATTAGGGATTTCAAGTCTCTGGAAAACAATGGATCACCACAGTCCTTCATTAAGACTGTAGTTTTGGGGCCACACGGCCACACTCAGGTGCTGTTCAGACATCCTGAGAGTATTAAGACGTTCTCACAAAACTCTGACCAAAGAAACAATTGTGTTAAAACACAATTGTAAATGCTTTATTTGATGAACAGGATGGTTATCTAAGGCCAAAGCTTATAATGGTCGACTCCTCATTGTAACCTCTGCTTAACCAGTGTAGAATGGATGTGAAGTCCACAAACTGTTCAATACTTATTTTACATAGCTGTCAGAATTATATTCCTAAAAATCAAATCTGAATCACATGGCTCCTTGCTGCATTCCAAATGCAACTCAAATTCCACAGCTTGGAAATCAGTGCCTTTTACAACGAGGCCTCTGCTGCTTTCCTTTAAATTTATTCAACGAATATTGACTTATTGTCTACTATGTGCTCTCACTGTGCTGTCAGGATCAGTGGTTCCACACTGTTCCTGAAACAGCTCTAAACTCTTCTGCCTTTCTGTCTTTGCTTCACCTGCTCGCTCTGTCTGAAACACAGTTTCTTCTCCTAGCCACCTGGGAAAATCCTACTTACCCAGGTCCAGGTCAAATACCAACTCCTCCTGCCAGCCGTATGCACAGAGTTCTCTGCTGATAGCACTGTTATAGCAGATCACTAGCCCATCCTGCTGTCTCTCTTCTTAAACTGTGCTCTCTTAGGGGTGAAGTGCCATGTCTTTTATTTTGGATCCCCCACAGCACTTAGCTTGTAAAACTGAATTGAAATTAAAATCTTAAGAATAGCCTCACTAATTTGCCACCTTCAGTTAATTCATATCATTGCCAAAAAAGTGATTTGGGTGAATTAGATCAAACATTTATGGACTAATTGATTGCTTGGACCCTTTCAACAGTGACTTCAGTAATGGATTCACTTCAAATCAGTCCAATTGCTGAGTTTGTAAAACATGGCCTCAGTAAAGAGGGCAGGAGGAACAGAAGCATTTTCATTATAGATGTTTTAATTTAAATTTCAAAGCCATAGCCATTACTTTTTTAACCTGATGTGATTATACATTTATCTATTCACTCTCTTAAAATGCAGTCCAAAAGCACTATTTTATTTAAAACATAACAACGTGCATTGTACACAGATGTTATAAAAGCGACACATAAAAATTTGCCTAGAGCTTTCTCTACAAACCAATGGCTGTGTATAAAAGACACCAGTACAACTAGTTGAAAAGTAGAGAACTTAATTAAGCTGTATTTGGAATCTACAAGATGCTAAATATCAACACCATTGTTATCTTTTTTTTTATTTCCCCAGAGATTTGATTGATTCATTTGACACTATACAGTGCTAATATGCTTAAAAAGTATACCCCCCCTTTCTCTTCTGTATCACCCCAATTTGATCACCCACTGGTGGGTTAGGTCCCAGGGCAGTTAATTTAGAGAGTACTCCAGGTAAAGGCACACTCTATTCCTGCTTAAGTCTCTGAATCCCGTTTGGCTTTCTTCCTCTGCTGAGCCAGCCTAGACGTTAAGGTCCCTTCAGCGGGTCTCCTTTGAAACTCAAGAATAGGCCACAGATAACCCCACTTGGCTCTCAAACAGAAGGTATCCACAAGTTTGGAGGCCTTCCCAAATCTCCTTTCTTTGTAACACTTTCATTCCTCCCTCTAAAACATTATTTCTCAGACATATTATTTCACAAGGAAAAGGGCCGAAGGGAGATAGAATGTTTTTCTTTTTTCTCTCTGCCTTTTTAATGTCATAAAATGGAATTCTCTCCAGTGTATGTCCTTGAAGCCAGCCAGGACCCAATTGTTGTTTGAGGTAATTGGGAGAAAGGGGATAGACAATTTCTTTTACACTTTGCAGTTTTGAAGCTTCCAAATATTTTCAAGTGTACACATATTTCTATTTATTATTCTCAATATACAAAAAGTGGTAAGTCCTACATTACCTTTAAAGCTAAATGTTTTTCTCACTTCTCAATACGAGAATTTGCTTTATTCCTCTATTCTGTAGTTAATTATCACTGTCTACAATCCACAGCCTAATTTTAACATAGCTTGTAACAATACGGGTTTGCATGGTGTAATGAGTCAATTCTGTACTTCTCAAGGGCATGAACAGCACATACATAAAGAGGGATGTAGCAGGTATTATTAACTGCCAACCGTACAAAAAGGATTAAAGGTATCTATTGATACAAATGAATGACATCAAACTAAAGTGGTAATGTCTAAGAGATAAAACAATAATTCATATAATTTTACCAAGACCATTAATTTCTCTATTGGTATTTTAAAGTAGAGAGGGGACTAATTAACTTATATGAAGAAAAACCAATATTCATTTTAGACATATTTTTACTTTATATACCTAATCACTCAAAATGAATGTTTACAGATAATCTTAAGAAGATATATTTTGATGGTATATTTTTTGTTTTCAAATGTGATATTGTTGTATCATATTTTTTTGGTTCTGTTTTATGACTTTCATGCCACAAAATTTGATCACAATTTTGAAGGAATTATCAACCCAAGGGAAAGGAAAAAGGAAAGTCACAAATTAGAGGAAAATGACTTTAATTTAACATGATCTAAATATTTTGCATATAACATAACCATTAGTAATTAAAATTAATTAGTGAGAGGTGAACAATGCAATTGGTATGTAATTGTTTCTTATAGTGTCTTCCATTAATTGCAAAGTAAACCAAGATGAAAGAAATAATTTGGAATAAGATATTTAACTTTGGTTACATTGGAAAATGCAACCAAGAGAGCTCATCATTACTCTTCTACTAATATAAATTTATAAAATTCTATTATGAGAAGGGATCTTAGAAATTATGTGGTCCAATTTGTTCGCTTTACTTCTTTCTGAGATTAATGCCCAGGCAAGTCAAGCGACTGGCTTTTTGTTACACAGTTAATTAGAGATTGAGCTGGGACTTGATTCAGAAAACTCCTGACTTTAGATCTAAGACTTTTTTTCGCTATATCCTGTTACCTTTAAAATAAAATTCAATCCAAACTGAGTTTTATATGTTTGGGCTCACTACAGCTGTGGTTTCCCAGTGCTTTCCAAAGTGTCTGAAGAAGAATAAACTAATATTAATAAATGGGTAGCAGCATTTTAAATTGGATTTGTAGGCATAAATTGTATTTGGATCCATCTCTTTAGCTAATATAGAAGAGATATTCCAGCCAAAATCTCTCTCTGCCATACTAGTTCCATCCCTTTCTCTCTCTTCCTCTGTCATTATGTTACTCTGCTACGTTAACAACACAGTGGGGGAAGGAGGTCTTTTTTCATTTCTCTATTGAATCAACACACTGTGATGGTTCTATAGGATTTGGTTCAAAAGATTCCCCACTCTGTTTAGTTAATTGCCCGTAGATACATAAACTTAAAGAAGATATTACAAAGAAAAGATGTGGTGGACAAAAAATGGGTATGTTTGTGAATCTTTATCTAAGGCTAATACGTATTTCTGACTATGAGTTGCATATTTAAGCTCTATAGCTTGTGAGAAATTAAAGAATCTCCAAAAATTAGTATTTCTTAAGAATTAGGACAGGTAGGCTTATTTCATTTATTTATTGTATCATAATTACTGTTAAGAATGCTTGAAATAACACCAGCAACTTTATGTAGCAACATAACTTTTGAGAAGCAATGTGTAAATATTGCCAATATTAATCAAGTAAATAAAAGTGACAAAAAAAACAGATTTTCATAATGAGGTAGTACCAAATTTTTGCTAGGGGTTTTTAAATAATTACTGTCAGTTTGACATAAACATAAAATAATTAAAGTAATTGTTTGAATGAAATTTATTTTTTTCATATTTTTCCTTAGCATTTCATAGATAAAGTTTTTACATTTGAGTCTAAATTTCTAAAATTATTATTACTCAAAAAATAAAAGCATATTAACTTACGGCCCTGATGCTTTCAAAATGTCCACCTTCTTTCTCGAAATCAATAGGCTGTCCTTTCAGTGTCCAGTAGAAAGTGACATCCAGACTAGCATCATGAATTGCTTTGCAATTAAGGACGATGCTTTCTCCCACTGTTAACTCTGTTCTTTTAGGAGTAAGTTCTATTCTTGTAGGTTCTATAGAAATAAAAAATACATTAATCAATATGAACAACATGCAGTATTTCCCTACGTTCTGTATTTTAAATAACAGAGAAAAACTTAAACAAGGAATTTATGCAATACAGTTGCTCCAGAAACACATCTGTAAATAAACTACTATTATTAATTTAAATATTACCTTTTTGTATGCTAGGGCATTTTACTATGCTTTTGTAGGGGACTGAGGATTTTAAAGTCCCTGTTCCTGTTAAGTCAACTTGGACAAAAAAAGACGAGAGGCTACATAACTAGAAACAGTATTTGGCATTCTGGAAAGAGGAAAATTAGAAAAAAAGAAGCTGTAGCCTCCCTCTCCACCTTCAAGGATCATCAAGTATAAATACAAAAATCTTTACAATAAAAAATGCTCCATATCCAAAGAGGAAGAATTCAGGTGAGTTCACTTCTTTAAAGGTTATGGGAAGCACCTCCCCTCAAATTATCATCTTAAAAGAGATAAAAATATACTGCTGCTACTATATCACCTTTTATTTGCTTTACAGGCTACAAAACCCTCTTATGAGTAGAAGAGGAGTAGAAGAGGCACCACTGGCTGATTATAAAATATCACTTTTGGTAGATTGTGGATGATTTAATTGAGATCTAAAAAGAAAGGCAAAAGATTGAGTGGAAATGTTTTTTGAGAAAAAATATTTATGTTTAATTACTTAATGATTCAGTTACGTTTTTAAAAAATAGATAAATTTTTACTGGGTTTAGAGCAACTTTGAGCCAATAAAGGCCAGTACTGGTTGTATGTCTAAGAGTTATTTAAGCTAGTGGTCAGATAGCTGCAGTATGATGTGTTTTTTTGAATACAGTAGGGTGGTGATGGAGACAGGATTTTGATTTTGTCCTTTTTCCTAATTAGATTCCTGATTGTAGATACCTCAAGGAGACTGACACAAATGATTAAAAATTAGCCTAATTTTCCTATTCTAGCTCTGTTGTTGGCAATAGCATAGTCTGATGAAGCACCATTCTTAACCACTGATAAGATCCTTTCATCTGCAACATCCTTCTAAGCCATCACTGAGAGGAAAGTGCAATACCAGGAAAGGAATGCCACTGTACATATCAATATTCTAGAAGTCAGATATTCTTTTTGGCATTCTAAGTTTTGGCTTCATCAGAGACAACAGATAATCACAGCATACCGTAGTTTAGTCTTTGTGAGAATTGGAATGTTCTGAGTAACTAAATATTCCATTTAACTTGTAATTAACAGAAAACATTTTTGTGATTATTAAAGAAAAAAAGGTCTGTGCATCCAGCATTACCTCATTGTGAAAAAGATTGTTTAGCACACAGAAGGAATAAGACATGGACTAGAAGACTGACTTGGATTCCAGTAATGTATGCTATAAATGAAGATATATTTTAAATTACGTTTCTTCCTTCCGTTGAAGTTTGCCTCTTTTCTAAAATATCAGAGTGGTGGCTATTTTAATTACATTTCTATTTCTAAAGAAAGAGCAAAATTAACATTTCTGTATTTTTATGGCCAAATATGAGTCACTATATAATACATGCACAAATGGAAAAAAATAATTAAGAATATAGTTCAGTTGTGAAAAATATTCCTTTGCCAGTTAAAGAGACTGCCTAAGATATGAGATTTTCTTAGTGCTAAACAATGATGTGTAGTCTCAAAAGAAAGTTCTAGGCTTAAATCTAGTTCTCTTTAGAAGTGAAAAACTAAGAGAAACATTTAAGCAGCAATGTTTATAATACTAAATATTCCATTGATGCAAACATCAAAGAGCATCTCTGGTATCAGATTATCTGATGCACACTCTGACATTGCACATTCACGGTGTCCTTCTGCTACTCCTTTCTGCCCGAAATCCCCAATTGAAGTGGTAACAAAGGAATATTACTGATTGATGCTAAAATTAATCTTGGTAGAGGAAAAATATTTTTATACTGCTGGCATACTTTTAAATTTTGAGACATCAACTAAAACTTGAGAAAATTTTCTTTAGCCTCTCACATATTTTGTTCAAAGCAAAATATTTACAGTTCTACCAACGAGGCGTTCCTTCCTTTATGGTCCCCTAAATAATGGAAAGGGACAATTTGGCTGTGTTACTTCTATGTTTGCAATGTGTTTTATCAACAGAAGCATGTGCACACATACGTGCAAGCACACACATGCATAGTACATTTATTCGCTTTCTGATAAGGTCATGAAACTGTGCTCATAAAACATTTAGCCACATTTTCTTACCTTTGACAGATACTGAAGCTACGATTTCAGCAGAACCAAAGACATTTTCCCCTTGGCAAATGTATTTTCCCTCATCTGATTTAGAAGCATTTAAGATCCGTAGACTCCCGTCTGGAAGAATAGCTATTCTGAAAATTATTAAAAAAGATTTTTTTCCTGTTTTACTGCAAATCAGCTAAGTGGTAAGAAATTGATGAAGTCTGAAACCACTTCCAAGGTAATAATAAATAAGAGAAAAGATCACTGTGAAAATACGCAGTCATCTTAGAAATGTTTTACCTTTCCAGAAACTGTGCAATAAACCCGCTTAATATCATCTTATATTTAAAAAGGTTAGAGTTACAGGTTATTTTTCTTTTGACACTTTTTGATAGTTAATTTTAAAACTTGTGGAAAAAGGTGACCCTGAATTTGGTTATTAAAACTTATACTATAATATCACCCAGTGATATTTTAATATTAAGCTTGGGTATTTCACCTCAAACCAAGAGTGACCTCAAAAATCAAATATAAAAAGAAACAGCATAAAAACAGAGGAGGACAAGTTCAGAACATAAAATTAATTGTATACAGCCAAGAGATGATTTATGGTGATTTCTCCACAGTGCCACCCGTGCAGCAAGGGTATGAAAATGAGACCGACACTTCTGCTGCTCACATTGCACTTTTTAAACATAAAAACATGATATCTGAGCTTGCATTTGGGCTCTTTTGAGACCTTTGTAAAAAGTGGACCTTGAGTCTTGTATAAAGGTGAAAGATTAAAGCATTATTAAAAATTTTTAGAAGTTCAGTGAAAATGAGGTTGACATTTGGGATTACCGTATTCTCCTGTGCTTTCAACATTCCAGAAATATACAGATTTCAAATTTAATTAGTACTTTTGTCCTTTTCTCCCTTCCATATTCGTGAAATAGAACCCATTATATATATTTCACCAGTGTGTCTACCTACTCAAGCAACCTGAAACATAATAGAAGCGGCTGTGGTGGTTTTATTTGATATATGCTGGGGTTTAGACTGACTTCTTTTAGGAAAGAGGAAGCAACAGGCTGTGCTGTTTTGGGTAAGAAATCAGTAACCCCACTGAACTTAAAATCCTAAAATTGGATCCTACTAGTGCTGAAAAGAATAGTTTGTTCCATGGCAATACGATAATATTAAACTATTTAATATACAAGAATAATGACTAAATCTGTTGAGTGAACATCCTTTATGTTATTTTAAAACTTGTATTGAATCTTGCCAGTCACCCAGAACTGATGGTTATTGAGAGCATTGAACGTCATAACAATTGAATTAGATTCTAGGCTGCTGAATATTGCTTATGAATTGATGCTTACCTGTTTTCATCAATAAAGATACCAGTTTAAAAACATGATACTGTTTTCAATATGGATCAAATTCAACTTACAACGTGTAAGAAGGGAGACAAATTTAGAAGCAAGCCAAACTAGGAGTAGAGAATTTGATTTTGTAGTTTATCTCTGGGAGGGATAAACTTGAGACATTTGGAAAACACAGTGCCTTTAAAAGTTATATAATCCGTTCAAGATGGTTAATGAAAAATTCTGTTCATTATTTGTATAACGCTCAGTTTCTATAAAAATGGTATATAATATGTTTATTTCATTTCAATCCCAAAGATACACATGCTACAAAAAGATATATTTGAAAGCAAAAATTACACTTTTTGTAAACAAATAGGCATTCTCTTGCGAGAATGACAAACTTTATTGAAATTTATCTAGAGTACTATAATTTGTGCAGATTGTTAATATCTTGAAAATATCTGGATTTTCCTAGCTGGCATAAATTCTATCCTAGCAGGTGAGAAGTTTGGCTTAAAAGTTCACCTCTTTTAAAGAAATAATGTATCTTAGATACTGGCAGTATTTCAGCTCTTGATTTAAGGTAAGTCCTATCTCACTGACAGGAGACAATGTATTATACCCTTCTTTTAAAGATAGTTTATGAACACCCCTGTATGTTAGACCCCTGAGACACTTGGGGGATGAAGAATTTTGAATACCATGATTTTTTTTATCTATCAGGTGGCAGTGTCATTTAACCAAAAGCCTGTCTACTGATGCGAATTGCAAATTTTTATCAGATGAGCTATTTTTTTTTTGATTTAGAAAAGAAAAAATAGATTAGACAATGAATGTGATTTACATTATAATGTCTGGCTATTGCACACATCATTACTTAGAAAATTGAATATTGAATTAATATTTCCTTGCAATTTCCAGCCTCTTTATCTATCTTCTCCCCTCTGCTATTACCATGTGACTCCTACATTTGGAATTTTCAATTTGGACATTACTTCGGCTGAGACATCTTTGAGGTGAAGTTCTGTTGGAGGTAGGGAGAGATTTTAGAAATGCAAACCAGCATTCTAGCATTCAGTATCAAGTCATGCTTACTATATTCTGGTCTCTAGACTTCTCCATGAGTTTCTGCCTAGAACTGGAGACGTCTTGGTTCTCATCTTGCACTTGATTACTGGATCTCTGCCTTGTTATCCTGCCCAGTACCATAGCCTACCTAGGATAGCGCAGTGCTTACCCCTATCTTGCAAGGATTCATTGCTAGCTTCTTGACGCCTATCCTGATTTCCAAATTTCAGGACCATTTTCTGGAACCTCCATTTCCATGTTTGGCTTACCTCTCAAATACCACACAGCCTGGTTTAGATCTTTCCGAGTACTCTTCTTGCCTGGGAGTACCACCTATTTACCGGCTGCCATATTATTTAGAGATCATGCTCTGACTTCCAGATCAGATTTCTTTCTGCTGTTATATCATAGTGGATATCGTATTATAGAATCACTAATCACTAATCAAGACTATGTATGTGCTTTAAAGTCAGAAAGGTTAGATTCAAATCACTGCCATTGACTAGTATGTGTGTGATCTTAAACAAAGTTACTTAATCTCTTTCTTTATATGTAAAACTATCATAATTATACCTAACTAGTTCTTTAAAAGTATTAACTAGATAATGTATGTAAGTTATTGTATTTTAGTGGTATGTGCAGACGTTAATTGAAAATTTATTCAAAAATTTAAATAAAATTTGTGACAAATTTTAAAAAGGAAAAAGTAGAGAGTGCCAGGGAAAGTTCTTAACTATGCAAACCTTAACTATTTAACATGTTTGATAGGTCTTTTCTGGGGGGGGTAATATCTGAACTGAGAACTGAGTGATGAGAGGGAGTTAACTAGGTACAGTGTGGAAAAGCAGAAGGAATAGCATTTGCGAAGGCCTTGAGGTGGGAAGGACCACAAAACCTTGAAGAACCAAATGGCCAGTTATAATGGCAGCATATAAAGGGGAGCGGGGAGTGGCCCAAGCTGAGACTGGGGAGGTAGACAGGGAGTAAAATTATGTAGGACCTAGTATACCATGAGAAACATCTCGTCTTTATCTTAAGGTCAATAGGAAGCTGCCAATTTTTTAAACAACTTTATTGAGGTATCATAGGCATATAATAAGCTCATATGTTCAAAGTATATACTTTGAAAAGTTCTCACAAACGGATGCAGTCATGAACCCATTACCACAGGCAAGATAGTCAACATATACATCACCCTCAAAGCATCTCTGGGTTCCTTTCTCTCCTGCTAGCCTCTTCCCACCCCACCCCTATCACCAGGCAACTACTGATCTGCTTTCTGTGACTAGAGTAAGTTTTCACTTTTACATAATTTTATATAAATGGAATCATAACATCATATGCTCCTTTTTGTTTAGTTTATTTCACTCAGCATAACTAAGTTGACATAAAGTTGAGATTCATCTGTGTTGTTGCAATGATCAGTAATCCTTTCCTTTTTATCACTAAATAGTATTCCATCGTGTGTGTATACCACAACTTATCCATTGACCTTTTGGTGGACATCTGGGCAATTTTCAGCTTGGATCTATTACAAATAAAGCTGCTATTAACATTTATGTAGAAGTATTGTATGGATACAGTATTTGTTTTTATTTCTTTGGGATAAATACTTAAGGACTGTGATGGCTGGATCATCTGGTTTATGTTTATGTTTAATGTTTAATTTTTTACGAAGCTGCTGGGCCGGCCCCGTGGCTTAGCAGTTAAGTGCGCGCACTCCGCTGCTGGCAGCCTGGGTTCGGATCCCCGGCGCGCACCGACGCACCGCTTCTCCAGCCATGCTGAGGCCGCGTCCCACATACAGCAACTAGAAGGATGCGCACCTATGACATACAACTATCTACTGGGGCTTTGGGGGCAAAAAAAAAAAGCTGCTCTACTATTTCCATGCGGCTGTACCACTTTACATTCCTAGCAGCATTGTATGCGAGTTCATGCAACACTTGATATGGTCGGTTTTTTTAATGTAAGCTATTATAATAAGTAGGTACCAGAATCTCATTGTGGTTTTAAGTTGCATTTCCTTAATGACTAATTATGTTGAGCATCTTTTCATGTGCTTACTTCCCATCTGTATATCTTCTTTGGTAAGGTGATTGTTTGAATATTTTACCGATTTTTTATGGAGTTGTTTTCTTATTGAGGTTTAAGAGTTCTTTTTATGTTCTAGATATAACTCTGTTTTCAGGTATGACATTTGCAAAAATATTTTCTACCAGTTTGTGCATTTCTTAGCATTTTTCCAACAGCATACGTTCTTAATGTTGATGAAGTCCAGTTTATCAATTTTATTTGATACTGTGTGCTTTTGTTGTTGTGCTAAGAAATCTTTACCTAACCTAAGGTCACAAAGATTTTCTGTTTTCTTCTAGAAATTTTATAGGTTTAAGTTTATGTCTATGATTCATTTTGAGTTACTTTTTGTTTATGCTGTGAGGTTTGAATCTAACTTATTTATTTACTATTGTTTTTTGTTTTTGTTTTTGCCTCAGGATGTCCAATTGCCCCAGCACCATTTTTGAAAAGGCTATCCTTTCTCTATTGAATTGTTTTTTTACTTTTGTCAAAAGTCAGTTGAGCAATTTTGTGTGGGTCTATTTTTGAGTTCCCTATTCTGTTCCATTGATCTATATGTCTATCCCTATGCCAATACCACATTATCTAGATTACTGTAGCTATGTAGTAATCCTTAATATCAGGAAGAGTCAACTCCTTTAACTTCATTATTCTTTGTTAAAATTGTTTTGTTAAGAATTTTGCATTGATTTTCTCTAGAAATATTGGTCTGTAATTTTATTTTCTTTTAATGCATTTGTCTGATTTTCTTTTCAGAGTAAAGCTAGTCTCATAGAATGAATTAGGAGATAGTCCCTCCTCTTCAAATCTCTGAAAGACTTTGTGTAGAGTTGACATTATTTCTTATCCTTAAATGTTTGGTAGAATTCTTCAGTAAAGCCATCTAGTCCTGGAGTTTTCTTTGTGGGAAACTTTTAAGCTGCAAATTCAATTTTTGAAATAGATATAGGGCATTCAGATCGTCTACTTCTTGAATGAGCTCAGAAAGCATTTTTAAGCTGGGGAATGTATTTGTAAGAAAGAAATTTCCTTTATTATTTACGTAAATGAAATTTTTTTCTTGGCTTTTGATTCTTTAGTTCTGGCTTAGCCATGGATAAAATATTTAGTCTGATGCGGTTACAATCTAAGAAGAAGTTAATTCTAGTATATTATCACCTCTCTTGGATATATTCAGGCAAATTCAGGTTTTATTATTATCAGATACTGTAAAATTCAATAGCGCATTCAAAGATGCCACATTTCTTCTCACAAGTTTTTCTCATTTTCTTATCCTGGCCCTATTTCTATTTGGTTACACTATATGAAATTTCCAATATTTGGCTTTTTTTATCCAACAAAAATGGAAGTTTGATTTGTTTCAATCTAATGGTTATATAAGACTTTTGTACACCAGTACTTTTGCAGCATTACAGAAGGAGGGAGATTCTGCTTATGTCAGGAGTGATGTGACACATCTGTTCCGTGTAAGTCTTCTCTGCTATCTCTGATTGCTTTTTTCCTCAACTGGCCCAATATCTGATGTTCATGATTCAATTGTTATGTAGTTGGTAGTTGGCTGTCTCAAGTAACATCAGTTAATGACTTTGGATCTTTTGGGTGCCATCCACCGAGAGTCAGCTGGAGTGTCTTTAATATGTCACCTTCCTTCAGAGAATCAGGTGGAAGTGGTTCTCCAGTTACCAAGAGAGAAAAAAGTGGAATATGACAAACTACACAAAGACTTTTAAAGTTGCCACATGGAAATGGTAACACAACACTTCTGCTGACATTTCATTGGCCAAGCAAGGCATATGGCCTCAAATGACCTCAAAACAGCAGAGGAGCACAACCCTACCATGTGTCTGGAAGAAAAACTAGAAATATCTGGTCAATAGCACTAATGATTACTGTATTTCTTGTGCTATGACAAACAAGGCAGAGATGTAAAGGAAATTTTAAGGCACAATCTCTGTCCATAAAGTTTTAACAATTTAACTGTTCACACAAGGACTACAGAACAATAAAATTATGTGTCTGGCTACGATTCTTGTGTAGTTCAGAAGAGGAGAAGACTGATAAAAGCTGGAAGAGTTCAGTAACAAGAGGACAAGGTTTGATATCTATCTTAAAAGATGGATATATAGAAGGAAGTGGAAAAAGCTTTTTAGAAAAAAGGAACAAATAAGCAAAGGAGGAAAAATCAGAAGTGGGCATGATATGTTTATAGAAGGGAAGAGTTGAAGCAAACCAGAGTAGTGGTTTTGCTTTTAGGAAAAATAGCTAATAAGGTTTACAGAAGCATGATGGCAACTGTGCTGCTGGTAGTCACTCATCAACAGCAAAAAGAAGAGGTGCCACTCTCCTGTGGTGGAAGAGGGAGTGGGCCTGAGGGTTTTGCTGCAGCACATTGATAAGGGGTTTGTGATCCAGAGAACAGGTTGGATCATGAAGCTGACATAAATATCAATACCCTTTGCTTTTGGCTCTACTTAGTTTCTCTGAACAGGACACACTCTCCTTTGAAATGAGAACCCCTACAGATTTTTTACACCAATTATAGGGTGAGGATGTGGCTATAAATCAGGTCAGAGGAAAGAACCCAGGCCAGAAAGAGAGCAGCTATGCAGAGGCTTTTCTCACCTCAAAGCTAAGAGCCCTAGTTTGACGGAATCTGGGTTGAGCACGTAAGTCATCTTCACACTACAGGACCTCTTGCAATATCCCCCAAAAGAGCACGGACATACAAGATTTCACACTGAAGGAACTTCAAACTCTACCTCTACCTCAGTTCCCTGTTTTCGTAAATGAAATAGTTACCCTTTGACTAGGAAAGACAATTATACCTGCAATTATGATTAAAGGAGAAAGGTGCTAAATGGAGATGTACTTTTCTAGAGAAAGTGATATCTAAGCTGAGAACTGACAGAGTGGTAGGAATTAGTCCACTGAATGGCTGGAAGCTGGGCAAAGAGTGAAGTGCTTTCAGTTAGATTTACCAACTACTTATTGAATGGCTTCTGTATTCCAGGCACTGTGGAAAGCATCAGGGATACAGTGATGACTAAGTCCCAGTTCCTACCCTTAGGAACCACAGGGAATAGAGGGAGCATCAGACAAGTAAGCAGGAAATTAACATTCAGTGTAATAAATTCTGGAAAGGAATAAGTACAGGGAATTATTTGGAATATGTAGGAGGGGCAGCTCACCAGCCTGGGGGATCCGAGCCTGGTTAGGGAAGGCATCTCAGAGGACATGGCATCTCATTTGAGGGTTGAAAATTAGTAAGTCTTACCCTTATCCTGGTTTGGGAGGGGGATAGGTAAAATGACATACGATAAGCTATTGATTTTTTTTTCCTAATTGCTCTTCTGCACTCTATTCTTTCACTTCTTTCATTCAAATTGCACATTGCCTCTAGATTTACATTCCTAGATCATATTTATAATCACTCTCTTGCGTGAATTTTTTATGGTTCCCTATGGCCTACAAAATAACATAGTCCTTAGTAGAACCATTGAAAGTCTTCACCAAATGGCCATAATTTCCATCATTTTCTGATCTCCCACCCTGTCCTCTGCAGGTCTCCAAACTGTCTTATAAAGCATTCTCAATATATGAGTTTTATTTTATTTATAATTATGTATGCATCACGCACACACACACACACACACTCATACAGTACTACACTAATATACTAGGTACACTGTACAGACAATAATTGGAAATTATAATTATAATTAAAAGCAAATATATTATGCCATTTTCTCCTTTCCCTCCTCCCATCCCCTAATGGATCTCTTGCACATCTCTGAATTGTTCAAGCCTCTATTTGGAGACCTGTGCTCTAGTCATATAAGGCCACATACCTTTAAATGGTCAGACTCCTACCATTTATCACTGCTCAAATATACAATCTCCCTGAATGCCTCCTTAATCTTCTTTGGTTAGAATTATTCCTGCCTTCTTTTTTGCCTCCTCAGAACTCCATTATAGCATTTGTCACATTTTTCCTTAGTACACAACAGCCAGGGTATTTTATCCATTGAGCACCATGATTTCAGCATTTTCAAGGGCCTACATAAGGATTTGAAACCTGAAAAAAAATTATTGGCTCGAGTAATCAAAAATAACTACAGTATTGAAAACAATACAATGTAACACTGTAACAGCCAACCACAACTTATCTCTTCATTGTTATATAAAAAAGAGTTACCATCATAACAAAGTAGTAAAAAATTTACTATTACATTAACACTTTCAATGATAAAGTTATAAAAATTATTTAAAAATACTTTATAGCAAAAAGTACATTTCATATAGGATATAGGTATATTTTATTATTTTTGATAAAATATGGGATGAGACCTTTAAAAAAAAGAGAGCCTAGGATCTATGATGGTCTTAAAATGGTTCTGCTAGTAATAAACATTTACTAATCATGGTTTATGTGTCAGGCATCATACTAATCTTCCACATTATTTCACGTAATGCTTCTAACCACTCTGTGAGCTGAGTATTGTCATTTACTGATGAGAAAACTGTGGTTCATCATCATTTACTACTTTATTCAAGGCTATTCAGCAAGTGGCAGAGCCCTGATTTCAGCCTGGCTCTTTGATTTATTTGTTTGCCTGTCAGTAACTTCCTAACTAATTTGTAACCTCCTTCACTTATTGCCTTCATACACTCTACAATGACTGGTACTCAATAAATGGGGACTGAATTAAACTGAATACAAGTTTAACCAATTTATTTTATAGATGAAGAAATTGAGGTCCAGAGCTCATCAAATCACTTTAAAAAAAACCCACATGGCCTATAGTTTATTTTGATAACATTTATTAAGACCGTACTATTTGCAGGCCCTATACAAAGCTCTTTTCATACATTACCTTATTTTAATTCTTACAAAGACTCCAGGATATATTATCACCCTCATTTGACAAAGGAAGAGGAAGAAAATAAGGCACAGAGGACTGAAGTAACCCCCAGGATTTTAGATAGGCCTGCTGGATTCCAAAATTTGTACAACACTGTCAGTACTATACATTGACCCAAGGTAAACATCAAAAGAAAGCTTTGCATAAGATCACAGGCTTAGTGGCAGCTCTGACCTACAATAGAAGCTGACAGAAGTGGAAACTCAAGGGTAACAAGAGAAGACGCATGTTTCCTATAGAAGATGGAAATGAGAGAAATTTATACTCCTTGACTTGATCAGTAAGATTTTAAAAGCTAAGGGCAATACATACTCAAGGAGGGCTGTGCTGTCACCATGCTCTTCCCTTCAGATGCAGTTTAGCTGGAAGGAAGAAGTGAGGTGACCCAGAAAGACATGTATGACAGCCTTTAGAAAGCGAGAGAGAAAGCTTAAGCGCAGAAGTTACTGTAATTAATGGACCTCGTCCTTGGCTCTCAGCATCACTGCCAGCATCCTGAAGAAATTGCAGAACCTTTTGTGCTGAGCCACTGAATAATTTCAGACCCTCCAGGCTCTGAAGGAAGGGTGAGAAGGAGGCTGCCTCTGTGTCAGAGCTAATTATCAGAAGCTGCTTGCCATTAAAAAAACAAAACAAAACAAAACCCCAAACACACAGTTGTGTTGTCCTCTTTCTGAAAGATCTCTCTACCAAGGATTCGTCATAGGCACATCAAACTTAACACATACAGAACTACATCCAATCTTTTTCCTCAAATTGGCTTCTCACAACAATGTTTCTTATTTTACATGAATTTGTATGGAAAATTCTGAGTGTGCATGTACCCATTTTCATGGAGACAATACGCAACTTTCCTCAGATTCTCAAGGGAGTCTGTGATGAAAACAAAGAACCACCATAGAGTCTTGTATTCTATAGGTGAGGTAACTGTGCCCAGAGAAGGAAAGCCTAGAGTATTTCTTTTTTAAAGCTCAGGACATAATTCAGGCTATTAACTCAGAAGTCATTATTTACTTTTCTTTTCCCTTAAAAAATTGGTCAAGCTGGACCTATTGCACATTTTAAGTAACTCTTAAACCCATTCCCTTGTTTTTGGCTTATTGGAGAGTGTAAATGCAGTGGGTAACAGACATGAAGTGGTTTTACTTTTTCTAGTCACTGTCTTTATGTTCCGTCTAATCCATTTTTCCACTTCCTTCAAACATCCAAGAAGGTCCCATAGCTTTTAGCTAACTTTGAGTTGTTAACGAAGGTAAAATTTCTCTTCGATTTCCTGCTCTTCTCTTCCCCTCCCCGTTCAGCACTGACAAGTGACTCGGACCCAGGATCCTGCAGCTACAAGGAGAATGGAGAACGGTCTCTCTTCACACATTTTTCCTTCTTTCTTCCCAGTTCTTTTTCTCCTCTGTGTGTCAGAGGAGGGAGGAGAGAGGTCCTAAGGGACCAGTGTCTCTTACTTATCCAACTTCTGTTGTGGTCTTCACTGGGACTTTGCTGCCCCTCTGGGTAAAGCTGCTGTCCACTGAGCCGTTGTTGAGGCAGGCCTCCCAAGACTGGCTCTCATGAGCGCATCAATGCGTCTGCGGGGCCTCCTTACTGCAGAGCTCCCTGATGTAGCCTCCTCTTCAGGCACAGCCTCTTCCAACTTTCTGTCAGCTCCCAAACTGTGGCATTTTGCTCATGGAGCCCAGAAAGCTCTATGCTTGCCTACCACCTCCAAGGTCCATCCAACCCAGGGCAATCCCACATACTCTTGCCTTTCTAAATGGTAGGAGTGTAAGTTTCTTTCCTGCCACTCCGCTTTCTGCTGTGTCATCTCTCTCCAATTATCTTTGCCCTACTGTTCAAACAGGGACAGAAGCCAATCAGTAAGTCTGTTGCCTGAGCAAATGTTTCGTCAAAGATTTTATAATTTCTGTGAGTGAGTCCTTGGAGCCTTCTCTTCACTTGAATTTGGAAGTGGGAAGGGTAAGAAAAAGCCTGCAAAGAATGCCTTCTCTTCTCTCTAATATTCTTTTATACATACAGGAGTGAGGAGGGGTGAAGGGTGTCGATGGGGAAGGTAATGCTATGCTGGGATGATATTTGGACAAGCAGAACTGGCTCAGCTACCTAGGCTCTGGAGAAGCTATCTGGTTCCTAAATTTTTAGAAGTCTCTTCAGAATATTAGATGCCTAATGCAGCTTTGTTCTTGGCTTTGAGTCTCAGGCTTAACATGTAATTATCACTTTCTCTTATTACTTCAAACTTATTTGAAGCTCTCATCAGAATTCATCCATGTTATAGCAATTCTGCTTCCTTGGCCTTCAGCATCAGGCCACTCCCTGTTTTAATACATTGGTCTCACTGCCTTCATAGTGTGGCATATGATGCTGTTACCAACTGACTTAATTCCCATCTATGTCTCCACACATCATTCAGGACAAAATCCAAACTCCTTAGCATGATATATAATAACCTTCATAATCCTAATCTCTGTCTGCCTTCCCAATCTCATCTCAAACTCCCAGCTGCTTTCTCACATCTACACCCAACCTATCTTAATTCGTAATGAACTACTTGTCATTCTGTTTTCCCATGAGTCTGTTTTCCCATGAACTTGAGTCTTTGCAAATAGTTTTCCTCCACCTGAGTGAGGCTTTTCCTGCTTCCCAGCCTCATATCTGTCTGGTAGATTACTTATTATTCTCTAACATTTTTGTTGTTGATGCTCAAATAACGTCTAAGTGATGTTCCCTGATCCTCAGTTACT